TGTCAACATTACACCCCTGACCTTCGCAGTGGGCGTTTACATTTTACTGAAATTTAACTTGAAAATTGTAAGCTGCTAGGTACAGTAATATATTTCGCTACTACTCCATGCCATACTAGATACTAGTAGAAGGCATTTTATCTCTTTTTCTGTCTTTCCAAATCATGACGAATTGTCATGGATAATTACAATTTAGATGCTGTTTAGATCACTTAGACTATTCAACTCATATCATCATACTCTGATCAGAGCTACATCTACTTCCTGATCGTACATTCTGTTATCCGTATGGAAAGCGTTTTCAGGTGCTATGCTCTTGTATAGTGTTCGTCCTTTTTTTGAGATTTGCGCCTAAACCCTCCATTGTATTTGGATAGCTCGAGAAGTATCAGAGGATTTTGTGTCCGGCCTCTTCAACATCATTGTTGCTTGCTTCCTTTGCCTGCCCTTTTCAACGAGGTATGGTCGAATGGAATTCATCTGTTTTGTGCGCTTTGTGGGCTTCTCCTTGTGCTTAGACTCTCGGCTCAACTGAAGAGGTCAAGAAATCCATAAGGCTGGGCGTTTTCCTATTCATTTTGTGAGTATGCATAATCGAACTTGGCTACAACAACTAAGATAGAAATTTTTACTTTTTTTTGCGTTTCTTTTAGAACAAAGTAATAGTTGTTATTATGAATTAAACTACATGATAAAATCTATCATCGTTGAATTTGCCGCATTTATCCTCAAAAAATAGTTATACCCCGTGAATGTTGCAAACGTATGTTAGCAACGACCAGTTTTGCTCTGATAGGCTGGTGAGGAACGAAACATGTTTGCGGGAACTCATCCCTCTGTGGTGTGATTGTGCAGCCCACCCGCTGTTTCAGAAGGACACAAAAGGCGCCAAAGCAATTCTAACGGTTCCACTTGCGGATTGCTTAGAATTTATAGCACGCGTAGAGTATATCTTGTCAGGTTTAGGTTAGTATTTGATGTGCTATTTTTTGAGGAACACTGAAAATTACCTGGAAATTAGCGGTCCGACCTCAATCAAAATCATTCTTCTTACGGAACTGGGCTAATCATTGAAATCAGCTTGTTCTCATAAATTCTGCCTCGCTACAGAATTTTTTGATCTAATTTTTCGAAGGTGTGGTTAAACTAATTTATCCATTCATCTACTTACCTCTCCAAAATCACTCTTTTCTGATCAGCTAAAAAGCA